TATCATTCTCAATGTCTCTTGTCCATTTTGTTTAGATAGTAAAACCAGAATCATTATTCCTATAGTTAAACATCATTATTGATTTTGTTTTGTTTTTTTTTTTGTGTATATTCTTTTTGTAAATCATTAAAGTTGCAGTTTACCATCTTAGCCTTTTCCCCAATTTTGGCAGTAAAACACTTGTTTTTTTCCATGCTTTTGTGGAAAAAAACTGTGAACGACCATGCTGATTCATTTCTTTGAAAGAAAAGCTTGAATTAATAATTATTTGGAAAGTGGAAAGAAAACGATATTGTGGACACTTTTCATGCCTTGGAAAGTGGAACTTTAATTTCTGTCTTGCTTTTTAAATTTTCATTATCAAATTTCCTGGAAAGAAAATTTTCATCATCAGTTGATTCCTCATTGATGGTCCTTTATTGACATTTATTATATTATTATTATCTTCATATTATGTATTATTACATATTATTATTATTGCTGCTGTTGTTGAAAATGTGTTTTTTTTAAAGAACTTAAACAGCACCACCTAATGAGCATTAGGCAAAGCCAAGAGGGGTAATAAAAATTTTGGTTCCTTTATTACTAGCATTATGAAAAAATGTTTTTTTTTTTTATTATGTATTGTTTTTTTCATTATTCATTATTATTAATTCATTGATTTTTTTTTTTTTTTTTTTTTTTGGGGTGTTTTTTTTCGTTTTTTTTTTTTTTTTTTTTTTGCATTGGTCAAAATGCGTTCAAACTAAAGATGAAAACAAAAATTTGAAAAAATATTCTGAATAATGATAAAAACTATTTATTTAACGAATTTCTGTTAAAGATGACAGAATTTGCAGGATGGAGATATTGCTAAAAATCTGATGCTATCATCTCTCAACAAATTCTACATATGTTATGGGGGTGGAGAATAAAAAAAAAAATATCTGCTATGCAAAACAACAATTTTCTAAGTCTTTGGAATAATCTTGTTATAAAAAAGAACAATAAATTTTAATTTTATTCTATTTTTTTTTTTCAATCTTTACATTAATCTCTTGTAAATTCTAATTTTTACATGAGCATTATTTTTATTATTTAAATTAGTTATTATGATCATTTATTATATATTTTATAAACAAAAGTAATAAAAGTTGAATCCACACTAGAGCCAAAACTTTCAATGATCATATGTCAGAATACTGATATTTCTTTTCTTTAGTAACCTGAGAACTTTTCAGCATCCTCTTGTACATCCACGTTAGGCCAAAATAAGGGGACCAAACTCTAAATTTAACAATGGTAAAGTCAACATATCGTCTTTTGTATTTAATTAACTTCTGGACATTTAGGATGCTGAAATGATGAAATTTTTAGAGAGGGTTTAGCTAAAATTTAAAATCCACCAGTCCTAAAATTATCATTAGTTAGAAAGGTAGATTAATGAGAAAAAAGATAAAAATTTCATGAACCTTTTATCAGAAATTGCATTTATGCCTGAAATCATTATTAGAACTGAATATAATGTTTAAAACCCTTCATGAAAAGAAAGAACCTCAGACATTTTTAAATCTGTTTTAATTTTTGAACATTAAAAAGAAAACGTTCCAGAATTTATTACAAACATTTTAAAGTAATATATATATATATATATATATATATATATATATATATATATATATATATATATATATATATATATTACAATAAACGTGCAATCAATTTACAAATACATGAATTATTCACACAAAACTAATGCAAAAGGTTAATGATTTTAAATGGCGAGACATCCATCATTAAACAATTCAAATAGTACACAAAAACCTTAGATCCGTTATGAATGAATTGATCCTTGTTCATATAAATTTCTGCCGTATTAGTTGTTATTTTTTGACAAGCTTTCGTCTCAAAACAGACATCTTTTTTCTAATTTATACCAATTGAAGATGGATGTTTAAATTTAAAAGAATTAAATTTTAAAAATTGATTTTGTGTGAAAACAATATATATATATATATATATATATATATAAGAAAATATACGGACAAACAAACAAAAATACTAATATGCAATTATGGTGTTTCAATGTTAATATAATGTCAATGTTGGACGTTTAGGTCTAATAGACCATCTTTTTTCTTCATACTGTCGGATCTATATCCATATATTTGCTTATATATATATATATATATATATATATATATATATATATATATATAGAGAGAGAGAGAGATAGGGTGTTCCAATAACATGAACTGATTTTAAATGTGAATTAAGTTTAAGAGTACAGTGATCTTTTTCTTTTTCTTACAGATTTAACAACTTAAGTCTTTGGCAATTTCAACCATGGAAAGATTAAAAATCAAACGTGTTAAAGTTATCAAAGCCTATTATGAAAATGGACGTTCAAATTTATAAATTCTGATTTTGCTAGCAAAAAATACACACCAAACTGTGACCTTTTGTGGATGCAGTGGCTTTTCAACAATCTTCCTTGGATTTTCATCAGCCCAAATGTGACAATTCTGTTTATTAACGAATCCACCAAGATGAAAATGGTTTTCATCACTAAAGAGGATTTTTTGCAAAAAGTCCTCCTTGGATTGTTTTTGCTCATGCACTTAATTTATGAATGTATGGCGCTCGAAATGATCAGCAGGTTTCAGTTCTTGTGTCAATTGAATTTTGGAAGCATATAGAGACTAACCTTTTGTCAAAATTTGATGTAATGTTGTTGTGAAGAGGTTCAATTCCTGCACACAATGACAAATTTTTGGTCATATTCTCATGCACTGCAGCAATGTTTTCAGCTGAATGGCATAAACGAGCATGCAATGGTGTTTTCACATCTGCCACTGACCCAGTTTGTTTGAATTTATGAACAATTTTTCCAATTGCACACTCGGTTAGTTGATTATGTTGACCCAAAAAATCACAAAGTGTGCGAAATACATTTCTGTTTGAATGTCCATTTTTGTAATAGGCTTCGATAACTTTAACATGTTGCTTGATTGTTAACCTTTCCATGGTTGAAATTGACAAAGACTTAAGTTGTTAAATCTGAAAGAAAAAGAATCAAATCATTAGACACTTAAACTTAATTCACATTTAAAATTGGTCCAAGTTATTGGAAGGCACACTCTCTCTCTCTCTCTCTATATATATATATATATATATATATATATATATATATATATAATGTGTGTGTGGCGCTGTTTTCTCTTGTGGTTGGGTTGGGGACAGCCACATCTCTGCTGTCTGAAAGTCAAAATCTGCAGGATTTTTTAAGAAATATTTTCCTGAAAGTAATCTCAAAAAAAAATTGACGCTCTGATTTTAAAACTATTAAGATAAAGATCTAATATTTGGGATTTATCAATAAATTTAACCATGGAATACCTATGAAATTTCTCATATTTCTGAGAGGGTCACCAGTGGCCATTGGTTGATTTGAGATAAAATGACCCTATGGTATATTGCTATGTAATTGTGTAATAGCATTTATTTCCTATAGATTCATAGACACAAAATGTATAGAATTTATTCATTTAAGTTTCATTTTTTCCTAAGCATTAACTAACCTCTTTCCTCAGATCTGATATTTCTCAAAAGATTCATGGGCTATAAATTCAGACTGGTGGTTCTTGTTTTTAAACAAACTCTCTAATTTATTATAAAGTTTTCTATTTCATCTTCTTCATTCAGGCCATTTAAATTAATTTCTAACACAGCCTCTCTCGTTTTATTTTTCAAAGTGAGAAAACAGTAGGTGATTTTTTTTTTCTTTGCTTCAATATTTGTAGCCATTTCCCATAATTCCATTTTTATTTTTTTAAAGGTTATATTATATTTTTTAAAGGTTCATTTTCCATCATAGGAAATTTCAACTTAATCAGGTTTTTTAACAGATTTATTGAATATGTGAATTTTTTCTTTTAATATCATGACCATTAAAATTTGAAAGCTACAAATTTATACAAGCATGTATCTTTAGTTACATTTCCTTAGTAAAATTTCCTTTTGACTTTGCCACTACCAGTGTAAAACTGACAGACCATACATTCCAAAACCAGTTAGTATACAATATTTTTATATATAAAATTATGTACAAAAAAATATGGAACAAAGTCAAAAATTGGTGGGAAGGAAAAGATGCTGGTCTTCAATATCCTGTGATTTACTTAGTTGTTCACATTCACTGACTCAAGCAATGCTCATTATTCCTTTCACCATAACATCACATTTATTCTTTCAAGTAACAATCACCAAAAAGTCACATTCTTTCTACATCAATCCTAATACTCATATTTACAATTTTATGGAGAGAGGGAGTAAAATAAATGATTTAAAATATTTTTTCTGAATGATTTAAATGCAGCAAAATATATATACAGGAAAATAAATTAGTTTAAGATCCCCATTTTTCCATTCCTATATTCTAATAAGTATGTTAACCAGTCAAAAAATGATTTGGGGAACATTCCTTCATTGCCAGAAAACTTTGTCATTTAATTTGGAAAGAAGAGGAAAGATAATAACAAACACTGTTTGGCTCAGTGAATGTGACCAACTAAGATCAGAATCTTTCCCTTTTCACCAGTAACAGTGCATAATCAAAAGGATATCTTACTAAGGAAATGTAAGTAAAAAAAACATACCCATATTAATTTGTATTTTTTCAAATTTTCATGCCACGATAAATAGAAATATAGCTTGCTTAGAAAAGTGTATTTTTTGTCATCATAAGAGCACTGATTGTTTTTTTTTGTCTTTTAATTTCTTTAAAATAAGACTTAAAGCTTCTGAAGATAACGAATCAATTTAAATACTGACTAGTAAGATCACACAAAATAACATGAACCTTACTAATTCTTGTGGAAATGAATAGTCATTAAAGACATAGGTTAGAATGATTTTCAAATTGATCTGTAAAATCAATAAACATTGACACACTAGTCTCTATTATGAAGAAAAAGTTGTTTGAAAAGTTTAGTGAAGCATCTATATCTGTTTCTTTGTAGGACTTGCCCTTGAAAAAGTTGGCGGAAAAGACTTTACTGAAGCAATAAAAGATTTGTCATCTAAAGGCACACTTGACCTTGGTGAAGGTAAGATTTTTGACAGCATATTTCAAATTCTATCTTCATTTTTGTTGTTGTTTTATTCCATATTTCCAGTTTCTTTATTTTTTCCTCTTTTTCTGTTGTTTATTACTATTCCTCTCCTGAGTTAATTTACAAATGACTATTTCTGGTGTCACATTTCATTGATTGATTGATTCATTTTTTATAGCTTATCAACCCTTTGTAGATTATTTAAAACCATAAAATATTTTTAGATTGTAATAATATTAATTAACCCGTAGCTGAAATGAGAAGTGGATTCATACCATTTCCAAGAGTATTTGTGCATAAGTGAATTTAACAACAAATCCAACTGGAATTGGAACTTGGTTCTCTGATTAACAATTCTGAGTCATTATCCATTACACCACCAACACATCCAAACCTACAGCAACTGGTAATACCAAACAGTCACTCATCTAGTCACTGACCAGGCTTGACATTGCTTAACTTTGATGATCGTATGGGAACCAGTGTCACATTTCAGTGTCTATATGCTATACCAAAACTTGGGATGAGAAGACTTTTGACAAATTTTTTAATTGTATATTAATACTAGCATAGTATCCATAAAAAATGAGTGTTTATCTATGGATCTGCACTTCTGTCTAGGATCAAAGTTTTGCTCCCAATCACTTTTGCCTTAGATCTGTGTAGTAGCTTTGCATGCCATGAAAAGAGTTAAACGTTAAAATGGCTATGAAAATATTTATTGTATTAAATTACCTTTTTAACTTACTTTTTACCACGTTCACTGGAAGGAAACTCATATTGCATTCTGATTTTTGGTATAAGCAAATAAATAGGATTTATTTTTCACTGCACTGTTTTATTTAGATAACATGTCTTCAAAGGTTCATCAGTAAGTCTGAAGCCTGATACAGAGTTATTAGCTGAATTTTGATCTGAAATGTTAATTGTATAATGTTGATCAATATTCACTGATTAATTATATGTATTGACAAGGAAGATGATTTTGAAAAATGTTTGTTGTGTAAAATGTTATCATTAGATTTTGAACTTATTGATATTGTTAGATAAACATTCCCTTTCTATATTTTTGCAATATTTCATTTCTGTGTTTGATAATTTTAAATGAGAATCAGACTAAGTAAAATTCACCAGTAGAGGCTAATGATAATATCAGTAATTGCTTTGATTTGGGTGAATCTGAGTTGTCTTCCTAACAACAAATGAAATAGAAAACAAAAGCTACAAAATTATTGTCATCTTGAGATGATTTTGTTTAGGAGTTGCCTTTTTCTTTTTAATCTCAATAAGTCCAGAGAAATATTCAGGGTGTGGTAGATACCTTCCACATAATGGTAAGACATTAGTGGCAGTGGTGCCTTCATCTAGCTAATGTCTTACCATTATTTGGGAGGTATTTCTGCTGTACCCTATACTTCAAATGTAAATTGTTCTCATTCTTTAATCCTCTAGGCTATTGTGATAGTAATTGTGAGTTCAATCCCTGGGCTGGGTAGTACAGATTCAAACTCAGTTGGAACACGGCAAACAATAACTGAGCAATACTAAAAAGAACAAGATAAGATACCTTTAGACATGGATAGAGGAATGGAAACATGGTAGATTAAATAAAGGGTTCTGTTTGAAATCCCTGAAAGTTACCTGGATTGACAGACAAAAGAAGGACAAATGGCATAATAGTCAAAACACTGATAATAGCAACAAAAATGAGGATATTGGTCTGAATGTAATGTAAATAAAGATAACTCCCAGAAATTCATGGATAAATTAAGTATTTTCAAGTTAATTTTACTATACTGTTTGAGCAGCATGATGCTCAAACAGTATGTCACATCATTGTTATTTTGAGTAACTATAATTCTGAAAAGATTAATAAGTTGTAATTATCCTAAAATATATTGAGATTTAATAATTACATGTTTCTTAGAAAGAAATTACAAATTATATGCGTTTTTAAAATGTATATCAATAATTTTTTTTTTATATTTATGCTTAACAATTTTAACTGTACAACTTCATATCTTATTTAAAATTGCTTTTACCTAGACTAAGGTAAATATTCAAACTACAGCATCAATATCACATTATCACTCAGTTAAGTGCCACATGTGATACATGCTTGAGTGATCATGTCTCTTTTAATTCATAACTGACTAGGCAGAAAATGTTCCTGAAGTAGGTTGCCATTTCTTTCTGTGGTAGCCTAGTAGACAACCAAGGCTATAGGACCCAGTCTGTCCTGCTGTTCAATCCATAGCTGTTGGAGAAATGGATTCACACCTTTTGCAAGTGTATTTGCGCATAAGTGAATAAACTAGAAGTTGAATTCGGCTCTTCAATTTCTCATTCCAAGTTGAGATTCATTAAACCACAATGCACATTATACTATATCATAAAAAATAAAATTCTTAAATTAATATTATCTTAAGACTGTGGAAAGCAGACAGAACAAAGCAAATTGCAGTTTTGCAATTAATGCTTAAACTCTTTGAAGTTTTAAGCAAAAAACAAATCATTTCTCCTTAATTCAATTTAAGATGGTGCAAGGTAATCAAATAAATATTATAATCAGATTCTTCCAACATCCTTATATTCTTTATATATTATTTATTATTATTATTATTATTTTACTGTTTACTATCTTGAATTTGAATTGTTATGGACTCAAAAAGAACCTCAATGAAATATAAAAAAGAAAAATTCCCATTCATTCTGACAAAACTGAATAATTTAAGTCTTTAATAACTGTTCTCTTCCTGAAAGATTTTGTAAGTCAATCAATTTGTTTCAGTGTCTGTATCCATGGTTTGGAATTTTGCTGCTAAATATATTCTTCATGTAAACAGTCCTACATTGGGCAATCAAAATGCTCTGCAGCTTCTAAAAAAAAAAGTCAATGAAGTTGTGCAGTAGTATCTAGAAGCTGTATGTTCTGCTAATAGTTGTATAGTAAATTTTATATCACTATTCAGGGGAGATAAGCCAAATTGACTTCAGATTTAGATTGTGTGATATTGTAATTTTTCTATGAATTTTTCTTGGGTTGAATGGAAGGAATAAAAAAACGCTGATGGAATGTTACAGTTAAACCAGATTCTAAGGGATGAGGCATGATTATTAGTTCTTTTTTTTTTCCTTTTTATTTAATTCAATATTTCTGATTGTTATGAAGTAGAGTACTTTCTAGAATAGACGTAGTGAGTTCAATAAATGGTAACTTGAATGGCATTTGCTGTGGCGTACTGCTTTTATAGAAGTACCTCATTTACAGACAATACTACACCTTCCTGAACCAAAATGGCCTTATGCCTTTCATTGATCTTTGACTTCTAATTATTCTTGGGAATCTAAACTGTCTTTTTTGGTGACCTAGGTCTGAGTTCATTTTCCAACTCCTTGTCAGATTTCTGGTCATTAAAATGAGTCCACTAAAATTAAAAATAGCTCTATGCTTTTAAAATGGGCATAATCCATCTGTACTTGAGCCCATGGTTCTTTTTCTTAAAGCCACGACTGAATTTTGTTTTGCCAAAAATTTTTATTTCAGCACATTTTGGGTGCCTTTTTACATAGTCTTTTACATCTTGAGAATATCCTGGCCACCATGCTTGTAATTTTAATCTCATTTGTGTTGCTTTTATACCACAAAGTACATCATCTTGTACACCTTTATTACTTCTTTTCTTAAACTTTGTCAGGGATATTATAATATCTCCATTGCATATTATGCCTTTCTCTACAGTTAACTTATGTCTTGATTCTTTGTAGGGTCTTTCTGCCATTGAACAGTTGCTCCATGTGTTTCTTTTTATTCTGTCAGAAATTCTACTTAACACTGGATCTTGTATGGTTTCCATTCTGAGATGATTTAGGGCTAACACATCCATTTCAACCTAGTGCAGTATTTTATCTTCGGAATTTTCAGACGTTTCTAATTTTTTACTGTTGAAACTTAGTCTGGATAATGCTTCCACATATGAGTTCCCCTTTACATATATGATGTTGAAATCAAAGGCTATGAGTTTTATAGCCCATCTTAAAATTCTAGAAGATGTGACTTTTGGTAATTCCTTTCTGGGGTTAAATATAAACTCTAAAGGTGTGTGATCTGACTTTAAAAATTTTCATCCTAACAAAAATTTTGAGCTCTTTCTGTGCTAACAAGTCTTTTTCAATATTTTAGTTAGCTTCAGCTGATGTTAATTTTCTCGACAAATATGTTATTAGATGACCTTGAAATAAAATTGCAGCTACAGCATGTTCACTTGCATTGGTAGCCAATGTCACTTCTTTTTTAGATCAAAGATCTTTGTAATTGGTTTTCTTATTTGTGTCTTTTTTTTAAGCTTTTAAAGCTATATTTTGCCTTTGAGTTCATTTAAATTCTGTGTTCTTTTTCTGTAATTCTGCAAATGGCTCCATTAGGTCATTGTATCTAGGTAGATATTTGCTATAAAAATTGGTCGATCTCAAAAAGGATTCTAATTTGTTTTTAATTTTTGGTGTAGATACTTCCGATATTTTATTTATCAGTTTATTGTCTGGTGAAATATCTCATGCCATCATTTTTTAATTTGTTTAAAACGTGTTCATTTTTTTTTTTTTTTTTTTTTTTTAATTTATCTTTACTGCAACCACATATGCCTATATCATCTTGATATGATATTTTTTACTCCCTCCAATAGAACTTTTTCAATTGCCTTCTGAAAAATATGGCTTGAAGTCTTAACTCTAAAGAGAAAATGAGTCCATCTTAGTAAGCCTATCAGGGTATTAATCATAGTGACTTCTTTAAATTTTTTTTGTCAATTTCTATTTGGTTATATGCCGATTTCAGATCAATCTTGGTGAAGGATTTCATCCTTGCTAATTCATAACTTGCCGTTTCTATGTTAGATAAGGGGAATTAATCAGAGCATATCTGATAATTCATGCCTACTTTGTAATCCCCGCATATCCTCAAATCCCCATTGAGCTTTCATATCGCAACAATTGGTGAAGCCCAACTGCTATCACTGAATAACTTTCTCCAACATGTCTTGTTCTAACATTTTCTTTAGTTTTGCAACTACCATAGGTAGAATGTGAATAGGTATTTTTCGAGATTCAAAATAGATCAGGTGACTATTTTATATGAATACTCACTTTATATCCTTTTACTAGTCCTATGTTAGGTTCTTCTGACTTTATATAGTTCATTAATTTCACTGCATCCACTTTTAAAACATCTATTATCAGGAGTCCATGAATTTTTTGTGCATTCTACAACAATGATGGGAATAATCTCAAAATGTTTTTTTGTCTCAAAAATTCCTTTAATGGAGCCTAGAGTTTTGATGACAGAGCCATGAAATTGTTTTTAATTAAGATTACTTTTTCATAATTTGTGTTTACGCATTCTTTCCCAGAAATTCCTTGGGATCAAGGTGACATCACTCCCTGTGTCAACCTGTATGGGAAAAGTTATCATGCCTTTCAGATCCACTTGACACAACAACAATTAAAAATGTTTATATATATATATATATATATATATATATATATATATATATAATACACAAAGTACATATTAATTTTTGTGACGCTTGAGTTTAATTAATGAAAATTTAAAAAATGATGCACAAAAGAAAACATTTAACAACAAATATATGGAAACTTTAGATAACTGAAGCTCAGCTAATAAAAACATAATTAAAATGACCCAGCACCATATAGGCAACATGCTGATAAATACAGCTTATCTTGAAAATAACTCATTTTTTTTGAGTATCATTAAAAAAAACTATTAATTTCAAATATGCCAAATAAATCATGTTTCAATTTTTTTTATCATTATTCACAAGACATTTCCTCCTCATAGTATTCTTAGCATAAATTGTGATATATGAAATAAACTCCCTTAAAAAAAATATCTTTACTTTTCTAAAGTCTTAATGACAGCAGTAAAAACTTCACAATACAATTGAATTTGTGCAATTATGATACCATTTAAATTATAATTTTCAGTGGGTTGTTTGATATAAAGACAGCTATTTGAAGAAGTCCTGGTTTGATATGAACATAGCTATTATTAATGCAAGAATATAATTTGCACTCAATATCACACCATAAAGAGATCAAGGTGCAAGGTGTATTTGAGATGACCAGTTGGTTGCCAAGTGCAGAATTACAGTGGTACCTGGCTTGCAAGTGTGAGAACAAGAATTATGATAAATATACACCCATCTGTGTATAGTGAGTTGGTAGTCTCTCAGACCTCACAGATGAGAATGTAAGGTTCATGTTTCAGACAAGGGCTCCTAGACAATACATGCATGCAAACAGGAATTGAGAGGTTAAGTTTCATGATTTCATTCTTTGACACCTTATTACATTTTCCCACTTCAGCATGCATCACCATCTAAAGTTCAGACATAGATGGTGCACTAGGAGGAGTGTTACTATATAAAATGGCTAAAAATTAACTTTTCTTATTTACTAAATACAGAACATGACCAAACCATTGAAAAAACATGTAATAAGACTGTCATCCTTATAAACATAAAGAAATATCTCCATTATTTACCTTTATTATTGGACCTCTTTATTCACAGCTACAATATGTCCAGGCCACAACTTTCCTGCCAGATTTGTTATTTTCTGCCATGGCCCCTCTTGGCAAACTGCTGATCGTGAACGTGTGCTGGAAAAGACTATTAAAAATTGTTTGTATGTGGCTGACCAGAAGAACCTGAAAAGTATAGCCTTTCCCTCAGTTGGAAGTGGACGGTAAGTTCTTTATTTTCTTTTATCCATAAACTTAGAGAAATTCATATCACTTGTACAAAAAGATATTTTTCTGCTTATGTTGTTTTTGATATGCTTAAACTTTTGTCATTGTCTGAATATCAGTGCATACAATTCATTAGTTATTTTAAAAACCTGTTCTATCCAAAAAATTAAAATGATTTCTAAAACTAAGGGATATAGCTATTTGTAAAATATGTTGTAGAGTTGCTGATGTAAGAGCCTATTTTAAGTTTTATTTCAAATCTTAACTAACCAGGTATGCTATCAGAATGAAAAAATACCTGTGTAGAATCAATGTTTATTTTCTTTTCTGATACATAAAGGGCTTTTTTAAAGAGATTTTCCCTATATCCATACATAGAAAAATTTTCTTTTAATTTAACAATGTGTAAATTTAGACACAAGGGATTCTGAGAAGTTCTTACCCTGATTCAGTTGTAAAAGGATTTATGAGGTGAAAAGGAGAAGAGAGCATGTTGGATTTCTTATCCCAACTTTTTTGAATGGTGCAAATGAAAAAAATACAAGAAGGCTTTTACATTAATATGGAATTTGCAAAGAAACAAACATTTGTTACAATGACAAAATATATTTTTCCCAATTTATAAATTGTACAAATTACAATATAGACTTTGCATAAAATGTATCTTGTGCATCTCAAATTAACAAGGTAGGTTAAAAGTTCTTTCTCTTATAAAACTACAGTTCATGTAAAGCAAATATTTTCCTTAACAACAAACTTTCTTTTAGAGCAACAGTTCATATAAATCAATTTCTTAGCAACAAAAGAAATTTACTTTAAAAACTTTACAATTCAAAATGTTGCTGGTTCAAAAGTTGAAAATTAAAATGGAAGGTGAAAGTTGAGATTTGAAGTGAGGTGAGAAAAGGTTGACCTACCTCAGCAAAGTTGTTTTCTTGGAGTCCTTTTGACAAATATTCAGATTTTTGGAAAAGTTATCCTCAAGTTTGGGATAAATTCTCATAGGTTTTTGAAAGTCATTCATATTATAAGAATTTAGAATTTCTATCTTCTTTGTCAACAGTAATAATGTTAGTAGTTTTTTTTTCTTCCGGGTCACCATATAGTATATTTCTCTTCTCAGCAGCAGACTTTACATGCTGAGACAGCTCTTTCTGTCTGATGACAGCCTTCACCCAAGTGTCTAAATTCATTTTCAGCAGCATCAGCATTCTTTCACCCAAGTATAGTCTACCCCTTTCTTTCGTTAAAATTTTTCCTCTTATATAGCCTTATAAACATGAATCAAAATTGTAAAACAATTTCTTAGGGACCTATACTTTTTTACCCCATTGATTAAAAAAAATTGAGCATCACCATCCAATCAAACTGTGCTTGTTTCCAATTCAAATTTGGTTGGATTTTGAAAACCTGAAAGGTGGGCCAATCCTGTATAATTTTACCAGGGAAAGTTTAAACTGCCTGGTTTCATTTTAGTTGTTTTTTATGGCATCAATTTGGAGACTATTTTTTTTTTTTCAAATCTGTACACATCAATTTTCATTAATGTATTTTCTTATATAAACATTTTGGTTTCATTTAGATGTTTTCTTTTCCAAAGAAACTCTCTTAGTAAGTTTTTAATTTTCTTAATTAGTTTTTAATACAATTTAATATCTTTTTTACTAAAATCAGTTTATATATTAATTTTTATATAGTCCCAACATTTTGATTATTTTCATACATTATTTCTCATACAATTTTAATACTACTGGGTTTTTTTTTTTTTTTTTTTTTTTTAAATAATTTTTATAGTTGCCAAAACCATTTTATTTAATGGCTTCTTTGTTGGCCTAAGAATTTTTCAACTCTTCCTCATAAATACAGATATTTTCCTATCTACTGTAATAATCATTTTTATATTTTAAATAATTAAAGCATTAAATTTCCTGCATTGATAAATTCATATACAATTTACAATGATGTCTTTATAAACAGTGGTGCAATAAATTTGGGTATGTATTCCTGACAGATTTATGTTATTGAAATTTAGAAAAATTGAGTGTGTATATGCATTTGTGTGTGTTTAAATCATATTTACATGCCAGGACAGTTAGATCTTTCTGTCTGATAACATAAATGTATTTATTTTAAACACACACAAATGCATACACACACAACACATTTTTCATTATGCATCTGATGAAGCCATTATAGGTGAAATGCATTATCGGATATTATTTTTGAAACATACTTTTATGAATGTTTTTCTAAATGTCAATAACTTAAAAACAGTTGTGTACAATTAGCTGTTGGAATTTTGGGGGTTCAGTTTATCAACAAAAAATTTAAGGTTAGTGATAGTTGAAACTAGCATAGTATTCATTAAAAAAATTACAAGATTATTTATGTAGGGATTGGTACTTAGATTAGAGTATCTGTGGGCACTGCTTAGGATCAGTGTGTAGTGTATGTGCATCATGTGAAAAGTGTGACACACACATATATCTGATGCAACTTATATATGTGGAAATCATACAAAATTTGTGACAAATAATTCTACACAGCATTTTAAATTATTATATGAATTCAGATTAGTAAAATAAAAAAAATAGAAAAGAAAATTAAGTTTATTGAAATGTTAGATGACTTATAATTACTCAAGAAGTGTGATTTTGTAAAAAGCTGACTCTGTCCCACATGAGTAGAATATAATAGTTGGTATGCTAGTCTCACAATTTCTTATCAGCATGATCCTTGCTTAATGTTCTAGAAAAGTGGATTTCTGTCCCATTAGCCTTGTCTGAAAGATAACTGATCAGACATTATTTATAGAAAATTCTCAATATATACATCAGTGTTTGATATGTAGGTACTATTTTGACTGTCCCTCAAAAAAAAAAAAAATACATACTTCAATTAGCTTCTGAAACAATTTTTAATTTAAAATTCTATTACATTTGATGTATAAAACATCATTATTTGATTCAAAGTCAAAGAACTGCTTTCATAAACACATTTTTTTTAATCAATTCATTCCAAGCAAAGCAATAATGCTACTAAGATGTAAGGGACTACTAAGAGTAAAAGAGAATGAAAAGAACTGTAAACCCAATCCTAAACAGGAAACAAGGGATAAACCCACACTCCTGTTCAAAATACCAGTGACAAGTGTGAACTAGATGATAGCTGAACCTATACATTTTTTTGTGTGTCTGTGATATATATATATATATATATATATATATATATATATATATAACACACACACACTTCTAAAGAAGTAATGGATTTCTATTTATTAATCCAACAGATTTTATTAGTTAAATATTATTTTTAGTGGATATCCATATTTGAGTAGAAGCTCTGTTAATTTATTAAACAGCATATTTATTTATTTTCGTCTACCGGCCTGAATATTTGAGAAATCTTATTGAAGTTGTTGATCAAGATGACCTAATGACAGGTTCTCCTGCCCAGAGGGATGTACATTCGAATCTTGCTGGAGATTGCATATTTTTCTTTAATAAGATTTCTTGAATATTCTGACCACTAGACTAAAATAAATAACTACTGAAAAATGGGTATCCACTAAAAATAACATTTAAGTTTTACACACATATATACAGTGATATGCATAAGTATTGGCTACATGTTATTTTCTGTTATAACTCTAGTTCATGTTCGCCATTTTGCCTGATATTTGGTAAGTAATATCTCATAAAGTTGTTTTAGTTGTATGTGGAAGAAAAATTAAAAACTCATGGTTGAATCCATTTTTCTTTTTATCAATGTTCAAAATTACCCTATGCAAAAGTATTGGATACATCAATTTAATATTTTGTTGCGTAGCCTCTGTTTTGTTTCACTGCTTCCAGTCGCTTTCTATAGTTGGCCACAAGTTTTCCACACTAATCCACTGTTACTTTACCCCATTCTTCCTTGCATAATTCCTCTAATTGCTTGATATTTTGTGGATTCACAAATTCTCAATTGGATTCAAGTCAGGAGACTGACTTGGCCAGTTGAGAGTACTAATACCATTATTCTCAAACCATTCCTTTGTAAGTTTTGCAGTATGTTTGGGATCATTGTCATGTTGAAGCACAAAATTCTGACCATGTCCTAAAGAAGTTGCAGATTTCTGAAGGTTCTTCTCTAGAATCTCCCTGTACATGCTACCATTCATTCTACCATGGATAACTTGTAACTCACCAGTGCCCTTGGATGAAAAGCATCCCCATATCATAATGGAAGCACCCCCAAACTTAACTGTGGGGATGGTATTGTGCTTGTTGAAGGAAGTGCCATTTTTTTGCCAAACACTTGTCGCTGTGTTCCTTCTAAATAGTTCAACTTTCATTTCATCCGACCAGTTTACCTTTTCCCAAAACTGCATACCTTTCTTTTCATAAGTTTCAACAAACTTTAATTGGTCTTTGACATGTTTGGTTTTCAGTAAAGGCACTTTTCTTGGTGATCTTGAATGAAAGCCTGTACGATATAGAGCTCTGCTAATGGTATCCTTACTTACATTAATTCCAGCACCCTCAAGATCAGTTTTAATTTCAGAACAAGTAATGAAGGGTTTTTTTTGCACATTTCTGCTGATCCACCTTGAAGTACTCTCATTTTTTTTTCTCAGTCTTCCATTTCTTGGAAGGTTTGCTGTACCATCGCCATACTTCTTATACTTTCTGATGATATTTCCTACTGTACTTAGTGCTAGATTCATTTCTTTGCTAACTTTTCGGTAATGTTGTCCTCATTTGTGATGTTCAATTATTCTATCTCGCATATCTCTGGATAATTCTTTACTTTTTGCCATTTTTAATCCTTGAATTGCAGAATGCACATCAAAGAGTCAGATGATTAGTAGCACTATCTTGTAAACAATTGTGTGCTTCTCTGATTGGCCAGAGATAACATTCCAATACTATCGAAAATTTGAATATTTAAAGTCTTTTAAAATACAAAGTTTCGATTGGAAGTTTGTAAAAAGTGTTATGTATTCAAT